ATGTCGTGACAACCTTCGCAGCGAGTCCCAGCGAGCTGCCGGAGTCGGTGGAGTTTGCCTGTGACAAGCCGTCACTCTATCTTGGTTGAGCTTTATAGCACCAGTCAAAGCAGTCAGAGAAGATTGAAGTGACAGAGGCCCACTGAGTAAATAGTGAAACATGCAGCACATCATGAAATATTCAGCCAGGGTGTAAAAGCTCTAAATGCTTTTTCAATTATTAGCACCTGCACTGGCTGCATACATCTAACACTAACAGCATGTTAATTGCCACAATTTGTTAGGGTAGTTGTAGGAGAAATTTCAAAGGCATGAGACATTCTCTAACGTGTCTTCAGCTCCGATATTACCTTCAGCAAACCTTCTCCTTCCTCCAAAAATTAAGTATGTGTGTGCATATACTCGCAAACACACATCCACATCCAAAGTCAGGGAGGAAAATGCAAAATTCTTGGCCCGCACACAAGGTGAGTTTCAACACCCTGACATCTTTTTGTGGGCAAAATCCAGATATGGTATATCTACCTGAGAAAGACATAACAAGCACAGGTTAAAGAGCAGTTGTGTTGTTCCCAAGGCTGTTTTACCATTGATTTTATATAAGGAGAATTTTATTGTAGGACAAAATAAAAAGTAGCCAAGACATTGTTTTACTGATGTGCAAAGAGTTGTTTATTTTCAAACAATACCAGGGTCCCTACTGGTCATATAGTATTCTCATTCCCAGTGCTCAACATATGTTGAGCATTGTTCCTCTGCAGGTCAATGAGGGCATATTGCTTTTATGGTCAAAGTTTCATGTGAATGATAGCAAGAAAGTTAAGACAAAGGTGACAGAATCCAAAGATACGCTGAACAAGTCATTTAATGAGGCAGCCGTTTGGCCCCGAATGGTCTTTTCAGTTCTGTTCCATCCCCAGTCATTACTCGAATTTCCAAACTCAAAAAATCCAAGTAAGTAAGTTTGCAGTAGTTAAGAATGTGTACTAGGAAAGCAGTGCTCTTTAAAATGTAATGTTCGCTTCCTTGCAATAGTTTTGCTGGAAGTGGGATTTATGATTTTGCTTTAGGCTGTTGTCTTCCAGGCAGGCTTTTTGGGGTTGCAGCTGTAGCATGGCATTTAGCGTCATTTTCAAGTTTAATTGATCATAAGTGGCATTATATGCTTTTCAAAACCTTGAAAAGATGGTATTTTGCTCTTCATTTGAAGTCATGCGAATGTAATATCTGCCATAAAAACCAGAGAAGCTATTTTTAAACTGAGGTTATGGATGTAGGAAAATTAACTTTTGCTCCTTTTCTCCTATGCATGCTATACATGCCTGTCTTTTCCCAGCTGAAATGACCAAATGGCTTGGTCATTGCAAGCCATAAAAACCAACATCTCAATTAAAACAAACACTGTGGATTTTAGTTGGTAGAAGGTAGTTTTCTTCCTATCATTTGAAATTTTCAAGCAGATGACTACAGCCCTGGAGAACATAATAACTGCAGCCCTAATACAAGCATTTCCCCAGTAACCTGCCAATGTGACTCAAGCATGGCTTGACAGGGCCATCTTCATGGGTGAGGAGGGTAGAGAGGCTCTAGAAACATTCAGTCCATGATTTGGCTGTAAGGGCAACAACTGTAATGCTTTGTGTAACATGAATTTTAATGGGAAGAGGGTGTCCAAGCCCCTTAGGCAGATTTGACAGCCTTGGCCTCTGTGTGTCTGTCTTAATTAATTTTTAGTATTTGCAAAACAGGTTTAGATCACCAGATTAACAAGAGTCTATATGTCCAAAATAATAATATTATTTTTTATTGTATTACTTCATAAAATGACCACGGTGTTTAAAAAAAAGCCCAAAGACCAATTCAGTTTTTAAGTACATAAACCAGCATATCTTCTGAGGGCAAATTTGGACCTTAGTAGTAAACCATTTTCAACCTCCATAGACATCTTCAGGTATTGCTTTATTAGGAATGAAAAGTAATTGATAAAGAGGTATATTAAAATAATAGCTTACCCCAGAAGATTAAAATCTAGTAAGCACACACACAGATTCTGAAACACAAAGCATGGCTGGTCTTATCACAGTTTCCTTCTCAGGCATAATCTGTTCTCCTAGAGTAAAAGTAGTACAAGAGTATCTACTAGAGTACTTTCTCGTTGTGTGATGCATTCTGTTTGCTTCTTTTAAGGCTCCCACTTGCTGCACTCCAAGCAGCAAAGCAGAGGATCCAAAGAGTTTATCATATTGCAAATAAGCAATTGATTAAAAAAGGAATTATTTTTTTTAAAATCACAATTTATTACCTAAAACTTCAATAGGGAGTTATATCTGATGATTCACATCCTTCATGCCTCCCATAGCATGCATCTCTTGAAACAAAGATCTCTATAAAATATAGTATTGAGGTAAAAATCTAATAAATCTTTAGCACAAGCTACTTTGAATGTTCCTTTTTAGGATGCAAGGCCCTTACCTAAAAGAGAACTACACTAGGATTTAACCATACACAGAAGCTAAAAATTGACTCAGGCTTCAAGGCAGTTGACCATAATTTGATATCTGTTATCACCTGCTTTGTTATAAGATTCCTTTCAATATGTATCATTTCTGTGACTGGGATTAGAGTATTGCTAAATACTCATTTGTGTGAAGATTTCAAATGATCTACTTAGTTTTAAATCTCAGAGCAGAAAAGAAACATTGATTAGAAAATTAGAATATGGCATTTTTTTACAAATTGATTTGTTATAGTTACTCTGATGAAGGGAAAATTCATACCTATATGCACCTAATTTCTGAAAGAAAAAAGAGTTGATTTGACCAGTGAACTTTGCTTTTGTTTCAGTGCTGTGCTGTGACAGGCTGCTGGAGAAATGTCTTGTGAAAGTTTAGGGCAGGGGAAAATGAAACAGTAAAATTTTTTTTTCAGTGGAAGCTCCTGAAGATTCCTAACCTTTTGGCAACATTTCTTATTTTGAAACACCTGGTTAATACATTTCATCAGAAAAAATAGCGAGGACAGGTTACCACTAGATGTTGTCTGAACATCAGTACAACCTCCAAATGGAATTGTATCCATGCTTGCAGACCTCACTGTGCCAGATGCAACTCTGAGCAGCAAGGAATGCCCTACAAGCAGCACCACAGTTAACTCTCAGCCCAAACTGCCATGGCTGCAGCTCACTGGTGAATGGAGTAAGAGAATGCAGAGCCTAGATACTTTTCTAGAACTTAAAAAAAAAAAATCAAACAAACCACCAACAAAACACAACTTATGGAAGACCTTTCATTACAAAACCTGGAGTAGGGTCACAGAGTCCAAGTAGTCCCCTAGAGAGTCTTCTGCTGCCAGGGGGTTGATAAGGAAATGCGCTGAACTGTGTCTCTGTTGAGTGAATGTAAAAAACTTCGAAAACTTAATGTTTCTTTTTCCAGATGAGTCTGATTTATGCCTTTGCCATGTAGTGCATGGCTTTTCCTTAAAGCATCAAAAGATTCTGGTTTAAACGGAACATTGCATTAATAGTTTCTCAAGTTCTTTTAAGCTGCTTTCTATGGAGTTGACTCTGAGTGAAATGAATGAGAACTTTCCACTGATTTCAATGGATATATAATCAGTGGCTATAAAATTACACAAATTAGTCATCCTGAAGGAATTAGAGATTATACCTTTCTTAGGCATGCAAGCATAACTGTTTTAAGCATGGTAACTTATCATACTGTATTCAGGGTAAATTTACCTATATCATACACAGTGTTCAAAGTCTGCTTTAGTAGACAATGCAGAAGAGAGGTTCTTACCACAGCCTGCTGGCTCATATGCTTTAAAAACTTTCCAGTTTTGAGAGTTCAGCCAACACGGGCATTTCTTTAACAGGCTTTAAAAGGCTTTAAAATTTGGCTACCTGTCTCAGAGTACTTGGCATATTCCTACATTGAGCATATTTTCTCCTTTGAAATGTTACAATTCTGTATCAGGATATTTCAAACATTCATGACAAAAACCTTAGTTAAAGACTGTAGTTTTGCAAGGCAAAGCTCTGTTCCCTCCTCGAATTTAAGATTTTAGGGTCAGTTTACCCTAACTGCCTTGTAAATACGATTCTCCTTCTAATGCTATTGCATAATGCAATCACTTAGGGGTCCTCACTGGCATCTCAGAGTGTTGGAGTCACTTAGCGTAATGTTTGATTTTAGCATATAAATTAAAGAACTGTATGTGTCTGTGCCTAGATGTAACTATATTGCTGGAGAGCAAGTTTATAAAAATGTCTTTTATTTGCTTCTCCTTTGAGAAACCTTGTGCTTTAAAATCTTGCTGGAAAAGACACTTAGAAGGTTATCACAGGTAGAGTTGTCCATGAAAGTGGACGTTGTTGTTCAGTATTAAAATCATGTATTCCAGATGTGGGCATTTGTTAGTCAGCGTGCTCTAAAATGACATATTGTTGAATCTTTAAAGGGCTTCAGTTTGGGAAAGCAAAATATGATTGGGCAAATTGCTAAAATATTTAAAGTGCAGCCTGTTAAAGCTTTTACTGCGAAGAGCATCACATCAGAAGTTGTATGTGGTAAAAGCAAGTAATTGGCTTTCCATACTTATGCCAGTCAGTCAGCATGGGGCTCTGGTCCTATCCCTTCTACTTCATTGCAGATGCTAATAGCAACTGCGATATTTATTTTGGAAGGGTGGGACTGGAAAGAAAAAAAAAAACTCTTTTATGAATGTGATGGTGTCAGAAAGCCTTGTTTAAAATTAAATGGCTATTGGTGTAGAAAGAGTATAGAAAATCTTCAAAACTGCACCCAAAATTTTAAAATTAACTTTTTTTTTCGTTCCAGCTTTTGTTTACAAGTGCCCTCATTGAAAGCATGTTAAAGTGTAAATACATTTCATTTTTTTTACTTTTATCCCTCTTTGTACACAGCTCTTGGGATATCTTTCCATCCATAATTCATAATATTTTCCACTTATGTTGTCCTCAACTTGTTTTTCCCCAGGCATGACCCCTTGTTAATTCCTGGCAACGAGCAGATTGACAATATGGATGCCAATGTGAAAAAATATGACTCTACAGGGATGTTTCATTGGTGTCCAGCCAAGGACATCGAAAAGGTCATTTTGGTAGGTATTGGTGACAAGTTGTTTTTGAAATGAGGTTATTTGAACTAGAGAACTGATATCTAATGGATTAATAAATTAATCTCTACTACCATTTTAACTCCAGCTTATTGAAATCAAAAACACAGCTTGGTGAAATCAAACCTAGCATTTTGGTTAAATAATTATGATTATATAAGTCTGTATGCCAAGTGCAACAAGAAAAATTGGTCCAAAATAGAGAAATTCTTTTTCATAAGCTGAAACGTGCATAGTGAGTTTAAGTCTTTAGAGAATTAAGACTGGAAATATTTAAATGTTTATACACCCGAATTATCTCTTCATACAAGGCAGCAATGATTCTAATACAGGCAAGTGTTGCTTTGCATTATCTCTTATTTATGTGAATTTTGCTCTCTTAGAACTCTCTCAATTTTCAACATTTCAAGATGCCCAAATAGGCCAGAGTAAGTAGTACTACTACTCTGCCTTTCTAACATGTTGCAGTGAGCCTAGTGTCTGTTTGTTTCATTTGTTTAACTGGGTAAAGCATCAAACTGACTCAAGTCATTAAAAATAATTAGAAGGCCTATCACAGTCTATTTTGCTCGGTGAAAGTTTGTGCCACTTGTGTTCATGTACTCATACCTAAGAGTAACAAGTAACTAACTCCAGATCTCATACGCAAAACTGATGATATTTGAAATGAACTCCCTGGTGGATCTTCACTTTGTCGCACTTCATAAAGCTTTTCCTGAGTCTGCTCTCTTAGATTTTCCTGCACTGTGGCATGGTGTAGCCGACAATGGTGACAGCCCCAGTTTATTCTAGTAATCAGGGGTTAAAAGCTTGTCTCCACTTCTCCTCAGGGGTTGCTGTAATAACTGTGACATTGCCTGGAATTGCAATATCGGTATTTAAAAAGCCAAGCAAGTAAATTCCAAATTCTAGAGACTGAGCTGTGAGACAGAGTTTGACTGAACAGCTCTTTATAGTGCATTTGTATGTATTCAGCAGGCAAGGAGGGGCAACCCTGATGTATAATACTTTGTAATAGACAGAGATAGAAATCTGCCTTCGTGCTCAAAACACATTTTAGCAGACAACCTTTAGACGTTGTCCCACTTTGAAAAGTGTTTCTCAAAAAATGGCGCTATGGAATGCCTCTTTTATCATCTCTTGGTAATGCCGTGTCAGCATTTCCCCAGCTAGCCTGTGAATCTCTAAGTCTGGCCAGATCCTTTCTGCTTCATGCATCATCACCAACAAAAACACTGTCAGCACAATGCTTCCCTACGCCTTTTCAAACTCAGTCCACAATTTAAGTCTACGTTCATATCCATGCAAATTTAATGCTGTCCTTAGAGACCACACAAGTACAAATTAGTACATAGTTTGAAGATGATAAGGTTTCCCAGGTTGTCTTCTAATTGATACTTGATGATGCCTCAATCAGAAAAAAAATTCATTTTTCTGCCCAAGGTCTGTTTTGGCTCTGTGAGATTCCAGCAGTATCAGGTAGTAAGAACTTTTTTGACATACAATCAAATGTAAGTGGCAAAATATAGATCAATGACTATAGAGTGACATTTTCTACATAATTTCTTTCAAGACTTGGCCTCTGTCTTTTAAAGCTTGAGTCTTCAAGATCCATAGGCAGAGGCATGCTCTATGCTCATCAACTTACATGCTTCACTTGAGCATTTGCTCATGTCTTCTGCTGTTTAGAGGGCCAAGACCACTCTCTTTATAGAATTGTATGAAAATCAAGGTAAAAAAGAACATATAATATTGATAAGTGAGGGGAAAATTTTGCAGTTCACTGTTGTGTTAGTTTTATTTATTGGCAAAACTTCTAAGTAATTATACTGAGTGTACAACTTCTTGGCAATATGATGTCAGTGAATCTTGCCATGCAAGAATGATAAGACTGTCTCTAGAAATGAAGATTTTTTTTCCTAGTGAATTTCTTTAATCATCTTGGTGTTTGAGTTACCTGCTCAACTGACATTACGAATGATTAAATTAGTGCAAAAGTTTATTCTTATCACTGAGAGAAAAAGATAATTCTCAATATGATTCAAGTGTTCTCCATGAGACTTTTTCCTTCTATCTATTCAAGAACTCAGGAAGTCTAATGGGCCTGAAAAGTTAGTATTAGTCACGATCTCACACACTAGCTTTTTCTTACTGAGAGAAGGTCTGTGGAGTTTGGTGGGCATCCATTGTAAAGCAGTGCAGTGTAGAGCATTGATTTTTTCTGAAATCCTAAAATGGTTAAATGCGTAATAGGTCAAATTCTGTTGTTCTTAGTTAAACCCGTAATTCTTTGATTGTAACCAGACCTTTAATCCACATGTGTAGAAACATATACAGGACCAGAATTCAGTCCTGTGCAATGTCTTCCTGAACACTGAAGGATTTGCAAACAAGAACAATATTTTCTTCTGCTGAGCACGTTTAATGAAGGATAAATAAGGGTAAAATGAACAACTATTATCAAACTGCTTCTTTGTGCATGAACAATATTGACAGTTGTGTTTTTCCTGGTTTAAAACTCAATATATGATTTAAGCTTCCATTTGTTTCATTTCTTCCTTGTCTTTTTGTTTTGTTTTTGTTTTTTGTTTTTTTTTTAGACTCGAAGTGAAGCAGCGATGACAGTTTTAAGTGGGCATGTAGTCGTTTGCATATTTGGGGATGTTAAATCTGCTTTGATTGGATTAAGAAATTTAGTGATGCCATTACGAGCCAGCAACTTTCACTACCATGAACTCAAGCACATTGTGTTTGTGGGTTCACTTGAATACCTGAGAAGGGAATGGGAGACACTGCATAACTTCCCCAAGGTTTCAATCTTGCCTGTAAGTCCAAAGCCATATTATTGATACTTTGTTATTTAGGACACCAACTGGACAGATTCATATTGACTTTGATCTTAGGCTTTTTTACTTTTGTCTACTTATAGGCCTGAGGACTTAGATTTTCCCTTTACTGTGTCTATGAAAACAGAGCCCTGTGAGACCTTATTAGAAGATATTTGCCGCAGTGTTCAGTTCCTTGTCATCCTCATTGGATGAATTTCAGCTGCTATCAAATGTATTAGCTGTGTTATATATCGAACATTCACTGTAGTGCACTGCATGTAGCCAGTTTTGATGTTGTGATTTCTCTGACAGAATGACAGTAGTTATTTATGACATTATTTATGTATTTATACCCAAAAAATCCTTTGAAAAAAAAATATTGTTACTCTGTCTACATAATATCTATCTATATTCATAAAAGCTTCCTGTTGACTGGCCTACTTTATAAGGAACATTGCCATAGCATTTAGTTCAGGGTCTTGCGATTCTCATGTATGGAAGTATGGCAAAACCCTGACCCTTTTGAAATCGATGAAAAACTCCTATTGATTTTAGTAAGGACAACCACTATAACTACATTTCAGAGGACCTTTTTCTCCTATGTAGTGTTATCATTCACTCATATGCCTAAAATGTAGAGACACAAGTTCCAGGACAAACAAATGAAGCCCTTCAAGCTACTGATCTTAGGTGATCACAGCTGTAAATGACCCACAAAGATGTAGGCAGGAGGGAAACGAGACCATATTGTGAGTCCGAAAGAGAATGCTCTGTACGCTACAGAGTAAAGTTAGTTTGTATGTTTTTTGATGGGAATGAAAAGTTATGAATTTACCATTCTAAATAATTATATTTTAGCAGTTAAAAATAAATAAATGAATGATGGATGTAACCTAAACTGATTAATTGGGACAATAGCTATAGAATGGAAAGACTTCCTTCACTTTCTGATTAATTCAGGCTGTAGGTCTTTGTTACTGTAAATGCAGTTTTAGTGTTAGCCCTCGGCTTTTTTCTGTAAACTGATCCAACAGATGGTGTCACAAGATTCTCTGCTGTCACAAAAATGGTGTCAGTATCAAATTTGGTCAGTTAATATCCTTCTCTTCCTGCCAATTCCTTTTAATTCTAGTCACTGTGAAGGCTAAAAAGCTAAGGAATCAGAATTAAATTAATAATACTGTTGAACGGTGGAGCAGAACAGAATCCAGCTACTACTTCCAAACTGTCCAGTATATAATATATATCCATTGTTATAATGAGTATTTGTAAGGTTTTGATTATGAATTCTGAAGAAGCATCAAGGAAATGTACCCCACTTTTGCATTCCCCAATCAATTTACATCCAAAATTGGAGTAGTTTTGGACTAATTTTCAGTTAAACAGCTTAAATAGTTCACGCACCTTTAAAAATACAGAATATGTAAAGGAATTGTATCTTACACAGTTATCAAAGGTGCTGAAGACCACACAGATTTTGTTACTGCTTTTTCTCTTTTTTTCCCCCCAGCCTATCTGTTTCAAAATGTTTATATAAAGTTAAAAATATCAGCATTATTCTGATCTAATTATACTAATTTAAAAGTCTACTAACAGTTCTGAGATTGTACTGGTAGGAATCGTGTTAAAGGGAGGCCACTCAAACTCATTTCCTACTTGTCTGTTCTTTGGTTCAGGAGGTAAAATTTGCTGCTGATATCTGATGGGGATGTGGTTACAGCTCAATATAAAAACATTTGTTCTGGATTGAAAAAAAATATGGAAATTTCTTTTAAAGTCTGTATTAAAAGACGCATTTAAGCTGCTGAGAAAACTCTTAGAAAGTAGGTAAATGCCAATTTTAAATATCCTCAGGCAGCCTTAATTCTGTCCCTTTGCATAAAATCATTAGGAGTAAGCCTTTAATTAATTACATGATTACATATTATTTTTCCCCACAGGAATCCTGCTTCACTTGGTGCACAGTACAGATACAAAGGGCAGAATTAAGGTGGCAGGAATAATCATATGCTAACTTTTGAGTACTTTATAACTAAATGATATCTGTTCAATATCTACTGATTTCCACAAGGTTTCATGCCTCAAATTATTGAAAGTAACATGGAGTAGTGAGGCCAGTATCTGAAACTAGGTGGCAATCACTGAGTAAGAATTGAGCTCTGCCTTCACTTTATACATTTTAAATTCACTTTTGCATTGCATATTCTCAGTGGAGTTCAGGAGTTCACCATGAGTGATCAGGAGATGGAAGAGTAGGGTCTTGACTCGGTTTTATGAAAGTCTCTGTGTGACAAGGGGACAGCTTAGTCTCCTCATCATCATTAGGGTCTTTGGGTACCAAACCATGTGAGGCAGCAGAGCAGAATCTAGTTTCCATAAAAAAAATCTTTTTTTTTTTTTTTTTTTTTTTGGACCTTGCAACCCCTGTGACATAAACTTAATATTCTGTAACTAGAGATGTGGACTGTTGGATGTGAAAAGCAAGTGTTATCTTTAAACAAAACATAATGGGTTAAGTGTCATGTCTCGTTTATGTTAAATATGAAAAAAAACCATGGACTACCACAACATTTCATTTTAATTATTGCATTCTCTGAGAATGGTGGATGCAGGGAATATTGCATGAGTTGTGCCCGTTAAGATAAAGTCTTTTTTGAAAGGGTTTGATCACACAACTTTGAAGATCAGTGTGCTTTCCTTCTAGAAGCACCAAAAACATGCATTGAAAAGGATTAACCTCTTTTGTGTATTGCTTCAGGTAGAAAACAAATAGCTTTATCCTGATTGCATCTCAAATGCGTAGGACACATAATGCTTTCCTGTTTAAATTGCTATTCTTTTGCCCAAGACCATTGTGACTTGGTAGTAGATAAATAGACATTTAAAACACACCCCTTGTTATATTCAGAGAGCCAGAGGTTGCCACATGATAGCAACTTAAATCAAGACAATTTCAAGTCACCGATGAGATGTAGAATGCTGGCATTATTCCTGTTTCTTGTTTGTTAGTAATAGCTTGACTGAGTATTGAGATTGAACCTAAAATGCTGCCATCAGCACCAACTACCCTTTAGATTAGCACACATCTCCTATTCCCTGGCACATAGTTAGACCAGCTTAATGTCAGAGCATAAAAAAGATACTTGTTAAATAATTTCCCAAAGCTCCTTCTCAATCTTTAATTTGTTTTTCTTCTTTTTTTTT